GTTTGTTCAACACTTCAGGAGAAGTCTCTCTCATGTCTCATTTTCTGTCCCAGACAAGCAGCTACCTGACTCTGCTCCACACACACCAACCACCGACTCAAACACACGTAAACAAAAGCTCTGATATTAAAATCCATCCAGCTGACGTGAAGCAGGCAGAAAAAAAAAAACGTACAGGTAGATGAACGCAGACTCCTGCCCACAGGCAAAACACCGGTCTGTCGTCTCCATGGCTACAAGGTAGAGCGACAGCAGAGACAACCAATTACACGTTAGTATGATGCGGCAGAGCCAATCAATGAGCTTGTTGGCGTGTCTAAGGGAAAATAGGCTTCAGCTTGAGGCGGCTGCCTCCGCATGGTCCTTTTGCCCGATAGGTATCACAGTATACCAGTTTTGTACGGTAAAATCTGACGAACGACCGGAAAAAGGGCATTCGGACAAAAGGGGCAGGTGCTCAAGGACCCCCCCCCCCCCCCCCCCCCCCCCCCCGAGACTAATGAATTACAGTAATCCATTCTTGATGTAATAAATGCATGACCTAGTTTTTCAGCATCACTCCTGGAAAGGATGCTTCTAATCTTAGCAATATTCCAAAGGTGGAAAAAGGAAATCCTACAAATCTGTTTAACGTGGGATTTGAATGACATGTTCTGGTCAAAGATAACACCAAGGTTCCTTACTTTGTTCTTGGAGATTAATTTAATGCCATTCCTGTCAGGTGATTGACTAAGCAATTTCCTTTTCTGAATTTCAGGTCCAAAGATGAGAACTTCAATCTCGTCTTGATTTAAAAGCAGAAAGTTTTGAGTCATTCAATTTTTTATGTCTTCAAGACAAGCCTGTAATCTAACTAACCGTTTAAGTTAATCAGGGTTAATGGATAGATATAACTGAGTATTGGCAGCATAACAGTGGAAGTTTATCCCATGCTGTCTAATGATTTTACCAATTGGAAGCATATATATAGTAAAAATAATTGGTCCAAGCACTCAACCCTGTGGTACTCCAAAAGTAACCCTGGATTTTGAAGATGATTTGTCATGTACATTTACAAAATGAAATCTATCAGACAGGTAGGATTTAAACCAGGCTAACGCTGTTCGTTTGATCCCTACAACATGTTCAAGCCTTTCTAAAAGAACATTGTGATCAACTGTGATAACACTGACATCTAACAAGACATCTAACACTGACATCTAACAAGACTAGAACCGACACAAGATTCTTATCTGAGGCCATGAGAATATCATTTGTAACTCTCACTAATGCAGTTTCAGTGCTGTGATACTCTCTAAAACCAGACTGAAATTCCTCAAACAGAGCATTAGTGTTTAAATGCTCACATATTTGGATGGCCACTATTTTCTCCAGGACTTTGGATAAAAATGTAAGGTTGGATATTGATCTATAATTCATTGGGTCATCTGGATCCAGAGAAGGTTTCTTAAGTGAAGGTTTGATTACAGCAACCTTAAAATCTTGTGGTACATACCCATTTCGTAAGGATAGATTGATTATATCTAGAATGGGGGCAGTAACCAAAGGAAATGCTTCTTTAAATAATTTGGTTGGGATTGGATCTAAAATGCAAATGGAAGGTTTAGATGAAGCTAATATATTTGATAACTCTGAAAGCTCAACTGGATCAAAATGGTTCAAACACAGATGAGGTTGTACAGTTACCTCTGATGCTGCCTCACTAAAGCCGGGCGTACACTGTGCGACTTTTTCACTTGCAGCGTTCAGCTTCAGCTCAAACTGTACGACTTCCTCGCAGAGCAGATCTCACGAGTCATGTGTTCACACTGCACGACCCATTTCTCGCATGTGACCTGACTGCTCACACTGTACGTCTGATAGCAACACGTCGGCCCTAAAAATATGCTAAAAATAGCAGTTTTTACTCAACACGTCAGACTTTTTTGTCTTGTTTTGCCTGTTGTCCTTCAAGAGTGCTGCAGGAGGACACACGGGGTTTTATGGGGGTTGGATGAGGAAAACAAAATAAAGAAAGTGAATCTGTGTTTTGTGATCAGTTTAATTTGACATGAACATGACAAACACGCTTTCTTGACAATCTTTGTGAGTAAAAAAATGTGTAGAAACAAAAACGAACAGCGTGTGTTATTAGGGAAATAGCGAGCGAGCGGCGTTGATGCAGGATTGCGCATGCGCCCTGAGCAGTTCTGGTACTTTTTGGGTCGCAGCTGCTCGCAGCGCCGCTTCAACAGTGCGATACCCTCACGAGGGACGAGCGAAATATTAAACACGCCAGAAGTCCGTGCGAGCTCACGACTGCTGATCGGCACGTGACCACCATGGTCACGTGGTGTTAATCGCCTCTCGTAACCCCCTGTACACTACACGACCGCTCGGCGCAAAACTCGCCCGATGTCGTGGATTCTCGCATGAGTGGAAAATCGGCTGAAAAAAGTGAAAAAGTCGCAAAGTGTACGCCCGGCTTTACTGAGGAAGAAGAAATGACATTAGGGAGGATGCTAAAGATTTTGTTTCTAATAGAATTAATTTTACTCGTGAAAAATCCCATAAAGTCGTTGCTGCTGAGGGCTAAGGGAATAGATGGCTCAGAGCTATGATTCTGTGTAAGTTTGGCAACTGTACTGACAATAAATTTAGGATTATTCTTATTCTCCTCAATTAGCGATGAAAAATAAGCAGTTCTAGCCTGTTGAAGCTTATTTTTATAAAGCGCAAGACTATTTTTCCAGGATAAGTAGGACTCCTCCTGGTGTGTAGAGCGCCATGTTCTCTCCAATTTTCTAGAGTTTTGTTTGAAGTTTGTAAATCAGAATAAAACCAGGGAGCCAACTTCCTGTGCTTAATTACCTTCTTTTTTAAAGGGGCAACATCATCTAATGCCACACGTAAAGAAGAAGTAACATTATGAACTAAATCATCTATTAGTGAAGGGCTAGAAATGAAAATATTGCCCTCTGCTACGTTCCTCTGAGATGCTGAGGACAGTGAAGATGGAACAGTTGATTTAAAAGATGCAACAGCATTGTCAGATAGAGACCGACTATAGTGAAATTTACTTTCATGTCTCGAGAACTCAGTTATAAAAACTCAAAGGTTATCAAAAAGTGGTCAGAGAGGACTGGATTATACAGAAATATCGTTATTTCCTCACACTCTATGCCATAAGTCAGCACAAGGTCTAATGTATGATGGCAGGAGTGGGTGTAGCTATGTATTCTTTCAGTAAAACCAATTGAGTCTAAGATATTACTAAAGGCTATATTGAGGCTTTCATTTTCAATGTCCACATGAATGTTAAAATCTTTAGTATATACCTAAAGTCAAGAAAGTAACATCACCTTGAGATCAAAAGAGTAATGACTGGGTTTTCTCATCAGAAATATAAGTAGACAGTTGACCAAGTTGATAAGGGTGCACCAATGACCAAGCCTCCAGGTGGCCAAAGCAGGTGAACCCACCCTTCGGTAAAACTCACACTAACGTGTCAAATATTTGTAATGAATCTCAGTGAAACATGGAAAGTAGTGTCTATGCTATGGAGACCCTGACCCTTTCACTGAAAGCATACAGTCTGTATGAAAACATGACAGCATCAGTGTGTTTTCTTATGTTAAAATAAAACTTTCTGCAGAAAAAAGCGAGACTGAGATGTAACCATAGCAGTGACTAATTGTGTCATCTATCAAAAAAGCAAATGTCCACATTAAGAGGAAAGGCCAAGTTCATTAAAGTAAATAATAAAAAGGGAAGACCCATTACAGGGCCCTGTGGCACTCCATTTCTGAAAATCCTAGAGACCTTCACATTTGTCAGTTTCCTAATCTAGTTTTTAAAATAATTTAAGAAAACAGTTCAAAATAAGAAATTCAAAGAAACTTAACAGCGACTAAGTTTATTAGTTACCAAATGAACTTTTGAGGTTTTTTTAAATGTCTCATCTCTCCTATCAACATTTCTCTCCCATAATCTTTTTGGCAGCACAGACCTTTGATAAACCTTTCTGTTTGTTTTGTGAACACTTTCAAAAACACTGATTTCTGTTGGAACTGCAAACTCATTTAGCTAATGAACGAAAAGCAGAATTAAACTTGTTTCAATCTCAAGACCATCTGCTCAAAGAATAGTCTTTAGACACCTGTAAGGAGGAAAACACAAGATAATCAGTGTAACTGTGGCTCAAATGTTAGCAATGAAATATCCTGGTTGCTATAGTTACAGAGGTCATTAAGATGATAACTCTTAGCCTAACTTCTGCCTTTCCCTTCAAACTGAATTATGAATAAATGTGTAAAGGGAAATTTGACTATCATGCAACCATTTCACATATCACACCATCTACACAGATTCTCCAGAAATAAATTGACTGTTTGCAGCAGAGATGACTGAACACTCAGCACAGTTGCTAAATATTAATTCAGATTCCCTGACGCTCCCGCTTACTGTGCTCCCACCACTCATTCCTCTGCTCCTGCTCAAGCCTTGTTTTCTTTTTTCCTTTATATCATGTGTTTAAATTTTATAAGCCCTTTGAAGTCGTGTTTTTTTTCTGAATCTACTTCTAAGTGCGTTCCACTGTGCAAATAAGCTGCATAAACAGGTCTAGAGTGGGGAACAAGACACTTAGAAGACACTGTTTGCTTTCTTTGATTGTGATTAGTGGAGGGCAACCGTTATAATGAGGAAGACAGTACAGACGGTGGGTTGAATCTGCAAACAGTGTGGACGTGAGGACGACATTGTGATGAATACGGGAGGTGTGTGACGTGATCTTGTCTGACCTGAAGCTCTTTGTCTTTGATCTGCTGTTGCTGAGACAGAGCAGCTGCTTGCTTTATTGAGAGCTCGGCAGAAATGGCCATCAAACGGTGGTTGGTGCTGACTATGTTTGTCCGGACTTCGTTCAGCTGGAAGCACATGCAAAGATTAGACTCAACCTAAAATTTCAATTTGTATTCTCACTAGCTTTGTTGCACCTTCATTGTACTTGCAGTTACAGTGAATCCTGACTCTGTGGTGAGGTGGGATATTCTGTTATCTGATCTGTCTGAAGATGCTTTACCTTCTTTGCCAGTATTAGACTGTCCTGCTTGCAGTTCTCCGCCTGCTGCCTGAGCGGCTCAGACAGCTGAGTCACCTGCTTCACCAGGAGTTCTTTTTCCAGCAGCTGCCTCTCGCATTTGGCTAGATTCACCTCCAGCTACACGCACGCAAACACACAAGTACGAAGCAGCTGTAGACTGAAAATGGCTCTAAATTCATGGGATGCTGTTTGATACGATACCTGCTCCATTTTATGGACGAGCTCTGCTTCTGATGGGTCTTTGCCTTTTAGCTCCCTGTAGCCAACGGGTTGATTCAGACCTTTTAGGGTGTTGTCTCTGGCTTCGGACAACTGTAAAAAGCAGAAATAATAAATAAATTATTTCAAGACACAAATAAGTTTACATGTTCTGGTATTTTCACATGAATTGAAATTAAGGTCTGAAATTTCATAATGGAATGCTTATTGCAAATGCAATCACATAATCTCACGATATTGAGGAATTTTGGAATATGACTTAAGATAGCTTATTTCCTGATATTGGGCATCTCTCCTCTGATTGCCTTACAGCAACGTGACGCTACCACTGACTCCGTTTTCTCTGTATTGAAGTTTTAGCTCGCTCTACAAATAACACAAGCCTGAAGGAGTTCTGCTGTGTGGTGGAGTTGATAATACTAACGATTAGCTTCTCCTATCCGAGATGTTCTCTAACCATTAACAGCCTTCTCAGTCATGAGGCAAGATGGATGAGTCCATGAATGTTAAGTGAGAGTGTGACGTAGATCTGTCAGGTTTTTCAAATCCTAGAGTTTCACCGTCTATTTTCTATCAGAAGCTAATGCAAGAGATAAGTGTAGGAGACTGTTTTATGTTCAGCCTGCATGAAAAACTCAATAGAGACCAGTTTCGATCAGAAAAATAATAAAAAGATGGCCTTTCAATGAATCACACCTTTAAGTCAATATATGTAAAACTGGCCAAGTTATGGCTATATTTATGATAGTTAAATTTGATTAGATGTGACAACCTTGTTAAATCAGACTGACTCTAGAACCTATTCAGTCGCAGATGTAGGGCTTTATTACACCTTTTTCCACTAGCACCTACTCAGCACGGCCCCACTTAGCTCGACATGACTCTAGAGTACGGTTTGGGTGGTTTTCCATTACTACTAAGGTCTATTAACAGCAATTAACAGCTCTAGTGGGCGGGGTTGTTCTAGCAGGGCGGTCCCCTGATTTCAAACACAAGGTGATGTGTACACAACACAAACAATGGCGGACGTTTTAGCAATGTTAAAGATTCTTATTAGTTGATAGCTTTTTTCAGACTCAACAAAAACAAGAGAATGAAAGGCAAGATGGAAGAACAGGAAAGAGTTCCCCTACCAATCAGTGACCAACAGTATTCTGACTTTGCAATTTCCACCTGGTTTGATATACTTGGAATCACATAGAATTTGATACTAAAAATGGGTGTCAACCTGGTACCCTTTACTAATGGAAAAGCTCTGGTACCGTGCCAAGCCAAGTTGTCACATTGAATAGGAATGAGTGGGCTTTTAGAGTCTGCTAAACCGGGGGAGGGGGGTGGGGGTGGGGGTGGGGGTAGTAGGGCGGATTCCAACTGTCATAAGTGAAACCAACGTGGAAGTGATAAAAACTGCAGTTCCCTCCTCATGTGCTAGGGGTTGGCTCCAGAAAGGAGCAAGCTCCCATTGGCTCTCATGTTACAATGCCAACTTCACAGCAGGAAAAAACATGTTTAAAGTTTGGTTCTAAAAAAGATTTTAGGTTTAATAGGTCTAGTTTAAGATCATGACAACTCTGATTGGGTGAATGTTTTGTAACTTATCCATTTAGATGTAAATGAAGGTTTAAATTACGAATAGTTAGGGGGCGTGTCCTAGGGGCTGATAGGTAGCAGATGAGCTGTTAGCGCTAGCAGCTTGAGCCGGGCGTACACTGTGCGACTTTTTCACTTTTTTGAGCCAATTTTCCACTCGTGCGAGAATCCACAAGATCGGGGCGAGTTTTGCGCTGAGTGTCGTGTAGTGTACAGGGGGTTACGAGAGGTGATTAACACCACGTGACCAGCTACCGATCAGCAATCGTGAGCTTGCACGGACTTCTGGAGTGTTTGATATTTTGCACGTTCCTCGTGAGGGTTGAAGCGGTGCAGTGAGCGGCTGCGACCCAAAAAGTACCAGAACCGCTCATGGTGCATGCGCAATCATGCATCAACACCGCTCACCCGCTATTTCCCTAATAACACACGTTGTTTGTTTTTATTTCTACATGTTTTTTTACACACAATGACAAGGATTTTCAAGAAAGCCTGCTTGTCGTGTTCATGTCAAATTAAACTGATCACAAAACACAGATTTACTTTCTTTATTTCGTTTTCCTCATCCAACCCCCATAAATCCCTGTGTGTCCTCCTGCAGCACTCTTGAAGGACAACAGGCAAAACAAGACAAAAAAGTCTGACATGTTGAGTAAAAACAGCTACTTTTAGCATATTTTTTAGAGCCGACGTGTTGCTACCAGACGTACAGTGCGAGCACGACTCGTGAGATCTCCCCTGCGAGGAAGTCGTACAGTTTGAGCTGAAGCTGAGTGCTACGAGAGAAAAAGTCACACAATGTCCACCCAGCTTTACCCCCCTGCTGGCTATATGGAAGGCCTCAGCCTCACGTAAAAAGTGTTACAGCCTCGAAGGCTGCAGAGTTACTCAACTGTGGTTTTCTGGCTAAAAGAACAGCCAACTTTTCTTAGCTGTTAGCTTGTAGCTAGATTGGCTCAGAGTTTAATAAGTGTCAATCATCTGTCCCCACCCTTACAGCCCTGCTCTCAGCTCCCTTTTTGTATTCGGGAGTGACAAGACGTGATACGACCAAGATGGCGGTGGTGGGAACTGCCCACTGAGCTTCAATTGAGTTCTTCAGAAACCTACGGGTGACAGCACGGAGCAGGGGCGGATTAAGGACTGAAGAAGATCCGGGGCTTAACACACATACACACACGCGCGCACACACACACACACACGTGATACGCACTAGTCAACATATATATTTGTCTTGTACCACATAATTTTTAATCTGAAGCTACATATTAAGCATATTCAGGGCAGAATATTGTTCCTGTTAGTGTTTAGTGTGAGATGATAGTAAATATTCCCTTTCTTTCTCCATCAACTTTACCTGATAAGCTAACTTTAAGCAAACCAGCAGCACAACAAATATTTTCAAATAAGACTCACAAACCCGAGTCAACACCAGTCTCATCAAAGCTGGGGTTCTGTCGAGCTACTTTTGGTCTAAAAAACGTCCTTATGTCCATCTTCACACATGCGTTTCAGGCAGAGTAGAAAAAACAGGCACTGCAGAAGAAACCAGCTGCTGAAGGGCTTCTTCAGTGGTGGAGGCTCAGGCAGGCTGTATACAAACTACTGCTAGCTGCTCCCTCTCTGTTGGACTTTGGTACTGCATGTTACTTCCACGTTTGAGATCCAGGGCTTTTCATTAAAGATTCGGGGCTTCAGCCCAAGTAGCCGGGCCTAACGCCGCCCCAGGTGCGGAGGGCTCGTCAATGCAGTCATCATAGTCAATGGTTAAAACCCATCCAGTGGTTTAGAAGATTGTTTGCTAACAGAGAAAAAAAGGCTAACTTGAAAAATGGCAATCCAAATGTTTAAACAAAGATGTTTAGATTGTGTTGTGCATCATACCTAAATATACAATGTCACAAATTGTAAAAGTTTTGGATTTAGTTAAAGTTGCACGATTTATGTTTGTATTTGCCATTTTGGTAATTAGTTTAAGTTGCATGATTTGTGTTTTATTGACATGCTTATTTTGTGTTTTGAATGGTTTTTCCCTTTGTGGTACCTCCCAGAGACACTAATTTGGACAAATGGGTACAGGTGAGGAATGCCCACAGCACCTGGGCATTGCACCAATGGACTAAAAACGAGGTATAAAAGGAACTGAGGATAGAGTCCAGGAGGGCAGCAGACACCAGGGAGACATGGATGAGGCCTGATTGAGACCAAGAGTGACGTCTCTGTCATGGACACAAAGCGCCCGAACCCCCGGAATGCAGATTGGCACCTGGAGCACCGGGATGTGAACAAGTGGCCAAGTGTGGAGGATTGTGGGTTGCCCTCGCCTCACCCATGTGAGTGGTGCAATTTTGGTGCTGGTGCCTCTGTCTTGTTAGGGCCTTGGGCCGAGGAGGGCGTGACGTGTCCAAGGAGCGGAGCTTTGCCAGGGGGCTGCAGAGAGACCGCGGTGCACGCGGCAGCCAGCGGGCGAGGGGATGACGCTGGAGCCATGGTGGCAGCACAGACAGGTTGAGGTCGACTTTGTGCCTGACAGCCAAAGGACAAGGTGGAGCAGATTGGGTCCCAGCTCCGTGGGTCAACATGGTCAGCTGGAGCCAAGAGGTGGCTCCTTGTACTGGACACCGTCCTGCCCCTGGTGATGCACAGGATGTTTTAGACTGTTTTTAGGACTGCTTTTATGTTTTTACTCCTGCACACTTTGAAGACTGGAACTTTTAGCATTGTCCTTGCTCCTCCCAATAAATGATCTATTTGTGTTCAGTGGTTCCCCTGCCTGTTCTTTGGCCCATGAGTTGCTTGTTTTGCCCTTGTATCTGGAACCTACAGCCGTGGTCGAGCTGCTGTGGGGTGACAACATCAAATTTTTGCTTGACATTACCAAAAGTGGCTAAGCCACAGCTATGTTTGTACATCTTAAAGTCAATTAACTGTAGCGGACATCTTGAAATGAGTTGATACTGTAACTATGCTTTCCGCGAGATTCTGTTGGCATATTTTTTGCTCTTTGTAGGTAGTAAAAGCTCAAACATAAACCCCAAAGGAAGGAGCAGTAGTATGGAAATATATTGTACGGAGGAAAAATGTTCACAAAATGAATAAATCTAGAGACTAAGACTCAGCTACTGTCTGGCTGTGTTGTCCTCTGGGCATTTTCGATACTTACTGCTCTGGGATTTATAAGAAAATACCTTTCATAGCTAAATGTAGCGCCTACTGTACATCGGGAGCTGCTTCCCACTAGGTGACAAGTCACTGGCAAGTCACTGGCAAAGTGTGATAAAAGAAGCCAGATTCCTCAAAGGAAGTAGATGTTTTTGTTTCCTGACATCCCATAAGAAAGCAAAAATAGACGGCTTAGGATAAGAGAAAGCACAAAGGGGATGAATCAAACAGACTTTAGAGAGACATAAAAGCAGGTAGTGACGGGGCACAGTTGGTGTTTTAGATTCAAGCCTTCAGCTGACACACTTCTCCCAAAAACTGCTGCAGTCAGTGAGTTAGAG